GGGGGGGGGGTTTGGAGGACGGGGGAGTCTTTGCTGTTATCGGGCCGGCTGATATGCAAGCTGCTGTTTTCTGGCTGTATATCTGTGACACGCACAAACCCTGAAATTACAGTCTCGCCGGCTGGTTTGCATTATTTGCAGTATTCTTCCCCAATAGATTTTTTGTAACGGCCTACACCAACTCTGCTACTTGAGTGGCAGTCATTGTATATCTCATTTGTCGCCCCTTCCTGTCATTACATCACTTTTTGTGTGCTGCGTAAAACAAAACCTTTTTTTTTCAGTATGAACGAGCGATGAAGATGTTCACAGTCGGAGCAGCCGCAGGAGACGTTGTGCTTTTTGTCATCTCAGTATATATATTTTTCCTGGAATTTGAAATTCTGATTGACTTTGACTAAAAAAGCCGATGAGTGTAAGCGACAGACAAACAGGAGTGATCAATACGACGGGCAGGAGAGAGGAGTAACAGAAGAGTCCACAGAGAATTGGGATATGTGCTCTCCTCTCTCTCTCTCCCACACTTCCCGTTCTTTCATTTCATTGTGACAAGCTGTACTGACTGGCGTGATCAGACAGGATTGTTCCTCTTCCTGCATAAACACCAGAGATTATGTGGGAGGGAAAACATTTCGTCCAGACTGACACTTTGATTTTTGATGTGTTTTTAGCCCTCCAGGAAAAAGAAACGGTTGAAATAAACAGTTTGAATATTAGTCAGCTCAAACTATACCTCACTACCAGAAGTAAACTCTAAGTGTAATCGACCCATCTACAGAAGAATAAGATAACTGTGACACGATCTGCTCCCACACGGTGAACTGTGCAGACAGATTAGTTTATGGGAGTGAAAACAAACAAAAATGTTATTCTACAGATTATATATTTAAACGGCTTTATTGTATCCCCAGTAACAGAAAAAGGCTAAAGTCGGCCTTTTAGAGGTTAGAGACAATAGATTACATAAAGTCACTTTTGTGTTGACGAATCAGGGGACAGCTTTTAGTGTTACGCCATTTAGCGGCGCCGTCGTATTTTAGCGATGCACAATATATAATTGGTCGATTCCATACCTGCTTCCATGAGAAGCAGATAATTATCGGTTATTGGAATAAGAACCAATCACACGGACACCAAAACACCAAAGATGTTAGAACACTCTTTAGCACACAAAAAAGACACACACACACACACACACACACACACACACACACACCATCCTAATATACATTTTGTTTTGTTTTATTGCCACAGGGAAATGAATAATTAATTACACGTTTCATTTTTTTCCTAGTTGATGATTTAATTATTTTCTGTTGATTACTGCCTTGTTAATGGGAATCCCTGACTATTTTTTGTGGATAATTAATCTTAGTAATAACATATTTCAGCCTTAATTAGGGTCTTGCCTTTACAAAGCATGTGATAAAAAGCTTTTTTAAATAAAATGCATCATGTTAAATCATCCCACATCAGAACTGTGGAGTGTTTTGTTGAATCACATTATTCTTCCGTGTAACATGAAAACATGTTAAAAGTCGACCGCAGCTGCTTCTCATTCATGTCTGGATGCTTACAAATGTAAAAAAAGCATCATTCAATCGGCCCGTCTGATTCAGCGTAAAGTCAACAATCATTGGGATGAGTTGGTGTTTTAGCTAATTGAGGTCCAATTGGTCCTCTGCGACCTTTATTCTTTTGTTTCCCTGATTCAAAGAGCGGAACGCAATCCTAAACAGGTGACGGCTTATCCAAATAATTGTTTAATTTCAGATCTTGATTATGTATTAGGCTCGCTTGAACGCTCATTTCCCCAACAACATCCAATTACAATTAGCTAACTGGTAATATAGCAGAGGGTGGAATTGCTTTGGTTGCAGTAGATGTGAAATTGCACTCTTTACATCCCCAGTGACCCAAAAAACATTTTCCTCTGAACTGAAACCCTGCTCGCTGCGCCAGGTCCAGACGCACAAATCACAAGGATGCGCGATAACAACGTATACAGTTAGAGACTTGGAGACAACTGTATTAAGAACGGAGGTCGAGATAGACGGTGTTATGCAGTCGTGTCCTCACTACTTTCATCTGAGATATATAAGACGCAGTGTGGTAAGCATATGGAGCTTGGTACAGAGATCTGTCACTGCCTCGCTGTGATTCACACCCATTTCTTTCTCTCTCGAATCCTTCAGGTGGGGACCTACGAGATGGGGATGATGCAAATGAGATACCCGGTGTGGCCGCGGTACGGCTCCTACCTGGAGCCGGTGTCGGACTACAGACATCTGACGGTGGCCACGCTGGAGGAGAGGCCCTTTGTCATCGTGGAGTCAGTGGACCCGGCGACCGGGACATGTGTCAGCAACACCGTACCCTGCCGACGACAGTCCAACAAGACGGAGACGTGAGTCGATGCTGCCGCTCAGCAACACTGAAGCTGACGTACCGAAACTAAAACGTGTGCTTCCACCAACAAGTCAAGTTGCAGTTTACATCCATGTCTGTCCAAACTGTCATCCCTTAATCATTTCATCCTATTAGACATTTGTGTGAAAATGTCATAATCAGCATAGGAATCATTGAGTGATGGCCAAAAAACTTCACAGTGACCTTTGACCGCCAAATTCTAATCGGTTCATCATTGAATACAAGTGGAAGCTTGAGCCAAATTTGAAGGAATTCCTTCAAGGCTTCCTGAGTTATCGCATTCATGAGAACCAACAAGTCTCATTTTGGCAAGTTACCTTCGGCTTTAACAGGTAATTAGCTAGAGCTCATTCATGATAAAGAAAAAAAACAGCAAAAGCAACGTTCAGCATCGGCAAAAATGAGAAGCTGCTACCCGAGTGTCTTTTTAAACTCCTAATGAAAAGAGAAAGAAGAGGAGGAAGGTTTAATAAAACATCTATTGTCCTTGGATCTTAGATAGATAGATAGATCATTTTGAGATTCTGTCCATGTTTACTTCATCAGTATTAGAGGACCATTTGCTGACACCAAACAGTCGTTAGTCAAGAAACCATCTTACGAAAGCCCACTTCATATCACTGTACAGTCCCACATGCACTCTCAAATGTTAACATGCCCATCTTAATTGATTTTGTATCTCACTTGAGAGTGCCATTAGGTATGAGATTAAGAGGTTCTTCCCCTGCCATTAGCCCAGGCATGACTTCTTATCACTCAATGAGGTGAGATACTCATTAGGCTGCTCGGCCATAGTGTAAAATCCTCCGGATCACCCTGTGACCCAATCAGGGAAATATATGTGCTGCATGGTGGGGTATCAATTAGATGGGACGATTAGGCCACGCCATCAATCCTGAACACCTAGAGACTGATATTAGTGTTCATTAGTAGGGGGGAGAGAAGCGCCGGCCGTTAACCATTACTGACAATAGCGTTAACGAGATGAGAGGAACGCGAGATGAGAGGAACGCGAGATGAGGATCACGTCCCCTTCAGTGTTATGGAGGGCTGTAGTGCTTTATCGCTCATGCTGATCAAATCGCCCCAATGGTATAGAAAGTGCATCACTCCCCTGGTCGGACAATGGCACATTTTAAAAAAAAAGCCAAGGCAGAAGGAGATAAAGTCAATCGGAGGTGAATTAAGCTGAAGGTGAAACATTGACCAAAGACGTTTCTCCACGCTTCAAACTGTCTAAACTGAAGGTAGATCTCTGTTCATAGTGAGCGTCTATAGACTACTTTCATTAATTATTACTCTATTGATTGTACTTAGGTTTAATTGATTATTATTTTAGTCTGTAAAATGACAGAAAACAGTGTAGATTACAATCACCCAGACCCCAAAGTGATCTCTTGGAATTGCCTATTTTGTCCCGCCCAAAAGTCCAGAAACCAATAATATGCAATTTACAATTAAACAGAAACACAGCAAACAGCAAATCCTTACATTTGAGAAGTTGGAACCAGCAAATGTTGAGCAATGTTTCTGGACATGTGACCGAAAAAACTAATATAATAAAGATAATAATTGATCAATAATTGACTGAGACACTTTTAACAGGAGTTTGACTTATACTGGATATTGATATAGCTAAAGGTTTTAAATGTATTTTAACATGAATACACCACATGAACAAACATTTGTTGAAAGATCTCTTAGATTTGGTTGAAGAATTATTTGAGAAATGAAATTGTCGGTGCTCTCTGGCAGGCATCACTTTTCCAAATTACGTCAAAGATATCTTTGGTATTTCTGAACTGCAATTGTTTTGTTCCGGCAAGTTATTTATCAGCCAGCCAAGTTATCAGTCGACCTATGATTTAAAATAAGCTGAGAGTTGTTCCAATACTAAAAATGATTGCTGCATCCAAAATCGATGATGGAAGTAGCCAATGATCATCTTTTCCAGCTCTGCTGAGAGTTGCACATGCGAAGTACTGATAGGGTCGATGTTAGCGGAGAGTTAGCCAGAGATAGCAAAATGTCAACAATTTGGCAGCACTGGAAAATCCCACCAAAGTGGTCATCTTCCAATCGGAAGATCGGCGGCTCGATCACCGGCTCCTCCAGTCCACATGTCGAAGTGTCCTTGGGCAAGATACTGAACCCAAAGTTGCCACCGAATGCTGTGCCATTGGTGTATGAATTGTCCTGATGGGCAGGTCAGAAGACCAGAAAGGCGCTACACAAATGCAAGTCCATTTACCATTTAACAGAGTGGTATCCGATCTGTGCTCTGTATCTGCCGGTACGCCAAGTTCAGGTTCTGGAAGGAAAAATGGTACCGAAACCTGAATGACCTCCATGCCCTAAAGTCCCCCCAGGTCTCAACATGGCCATAACTCATAACCCACATCAGTGCTTTCTAAATAGGGAGTCATCAGTCATGCAGGTTTCTCCATTTCAATCCCTCAGCCCCCTTCAAACCCCTACATTGGGCCAGCCTGGCAGACCATCTGTGTAGTTCCCTCATTCGTCCTCAGAGAGGCCTGACAAACAGCCAACAGGGCCCCCGACTTCAGACTTGGCTAAAGCCGCCCAAAGCAGTTAACACAAGCTCTTCCCTTTGGGTCATACGTGTTCTCCGGCGGTATCGGAAACATTCTCAAGCTCTCCATCTCACTGCATTATTACTGCCGGCAGACTCTGGAGACTTATTCAGAGGTGATGCCCCGGTGAAGGGTGGTATTGACCTGGGAAGATAATGTCATCATACATTAACTGTGTTTAATGGGAGCGAGATCATAAGTTGATTAATTAAAGCTGAGACTGAGTGCGGCGGTAAATGAGCTCCCCAGAGCCTCAGAGCAACAGGACTAGAACAACGCACAACAAAGCTGCACCAAAACAAACCTTCACACAGCGATGTTGATGTTTGAAAACTGTAGTGACTGTATTTTGTGAGGTCAGTGAGGTCAGGATACTGCTTATACTTTGGGTGTAGTATTCTTCTGTGTACCAACCCACTGGTTAGTCACACTTACTACTCATTACTGATAAGTAAAGCTGTTCCCAAACCTTTTAGCTGGCTACTTGTAAGCCCCTCGACATGAAACGACTACCCTGGCAGGGTCAGGCCTGGCAGGCCTGGCAGGCACAGCGCTAAGGACACAACGAGGGTTTAAGTAGGGTGTTTGGGCTTCGTTGAGTTTAGATTCAGTATTAACACAATCCAATATGGTCCCTCACGATCTGAGGAAAGAAACTGTACCTCTGTGGAGACTGGTAAATACGATGCAGGGGGCTCATTGTTATTTTATAATCCACCAATGAATGTCAACGTACATTAGCTGAGCATTTTAACTGAAGAGAGATGTTCCCTCTCAGATTGTTTCATTTTTAATAGTTCTTAGAGGCCTGAAGAGGCAAAACTTCACAAGAAAGAAGCAGCTTAATGTAACGAGCTTGTGACTAGAAGGTATAGAGAACAGTTACCGCAACTGAGATGCCTTTGAGCAAGGCACTTACATCTGCTACAGTAGAATCACCAACAGATCGGCATGTAGTTGTAATGGGCAGCTTCCAGGTGTTAATGTGTGTTAAAGAAACCAAGTGGTTCATCATAATTTGGTTGCAAAATCCAATTCCAGTTCAATTCCAGCTGCAGACCTTTGCAGACTTTCACTGTACTTTTCAAACATCAGTGCAGTTGTACTTTAACACCCAATTTAGTTTAAAGTAAAAACAAACACTATCTAATAATTGTATGTAGTGGAAATGTTGCTTCTCCTCTAATTGTCTAGCGACCCTTCAAATTAATTTCGTGACCTCTTCTGGTCCCGGTCCTGTTTCAGTCTTTTAAAATCTGGCGAATCTGCAGCATCGCAGCTGGGGGAGTGAAGTGGCACTTTGCAGCCTCCTAACTTTATTCACATGAAACATCACCGGGTACAGCTTTACTACTTCTTTTACGAGGTCAATTTTTCCCAGAGTGTCTCACTGAGAGTGTCGTGTTTCAATTTTCTTGAGAAGAGATGTAACCATTCCTAAAGAAGCTTCCAAACATTTCTCTAAAAAAAAAAAAGTCCACACTTTGAATAAATAACCCGACTCGCACATTTGCAGCAATTCCCAAAGACCCATTTAAATGCTACTGGCAGCCGACGTAAAGCCGAGCCTTGAACCCTGGCATCTGTTGAGACGGGGGATGTTGGGAGTGCTGTGTTTATGCGCGGTCTGCTGTGGCAGCCTTGTTTTTCCTCTGAAGTGTTCATTTGTCGCGGTTTGTTGTGGCGCTGGCGCCGCCCCGCTCGCCGCCTCGCATGTCCGTCTCATTGCCTCCTGGTCCTGATGTGTGGGAGCAGAGTCCATTAGACTGAGGATCTGGGGGAGGTGAAGGGGTGACGTGTCATTAGTGCTCTCTGCATTGCGCCCATGGCTTACTAGCTCGCTGCCGCATCACCTCACACTGCCCACCTTTATGCGCTGGAGAGGTGTGTCTGTTTTGGTTCCTCTGAAAGCAAATAAAGCTTTAATGTTGGACTATAACTTCTCTTTGGATGAATAAAAACAGAAGTCATCAAGCCAAGATGAAGGAGAGAAAGCCAGACATTTTAAAAGTTTTAGAAATACAGTACATCCCTCTCATACAGCAGCGCATTCATTTATGGAAACAACTACAACTACGGCTAGGAATAACAACGGAAACCATTATTCATTAACCATGAGAGCATTTTTGACCAGTTACATCAGTCTGTCTATAGAATAATCTACGGTGTATATGTCAATTTAACATGTGTGTTTAACGTGTGATCATTCAAAATTATTCATCTTTTTCACGTGTTTTCCTACGAATGTCCTTTAACACCTGTCAATTTCCGCTTGTTACATGCATACATACATTTTGTCTTCTTTTTGCAACCAGGCGGTTCCGCTTCTGACAAGTGAAGCCAATGCGGAAGTGTTTTACCACCAGGGGGCGACTCCTCTGGTTGTATAGAAGTCTATGAGAAAATGACTCTACTTCTCTCTTGATTTATTACCTCAGTAAACATTGTAAACATGAGTTTATGGTCTCAATCTCTAGTTTCAAGTCTTCTTCAATACAGCATGATGTTCATTTAGTACATTATGGTCCATTTAGAGTCAAACAGACCATAAAGCAGGGGATGCTTTAGGGCGGGGCTACACGGTGATTGACAGGTTCCCCCACATGATGAAGCAACTAAAAATCCTCACATAACCGTGAAACATAGAAAGACTTTTTCTCTAAATCAGAGCAGAGTACAGGATGTTTCACAGGCCACTAAACTAGACCCTGCTCTCTTCCTGACTCACGTCACCTGCGTCATCCCATTACCGTTAAAACTGAGGGACATTTTCATCCCCACGTTCCTGGTAATCCTGCTGATAAGTAAGGGGAATTGATTTCAGCCCTTTCGTCAGCCTCTTTTACTTGGTATGCTGAGTCTGTTTAGCTTCTGCTGCGTGCTCTGTCTGAAGATCAGTACTGTATGCGAGCCAGCACGCCGTGTCTTTTTTTTTTGGTCAGGGTTACTCAGCTTGGCATGTTGTAGGTATTACACAGACGCCTGTCCTCAACGATTTAGCCTCAACGGTTTAGCATACTGGAGTACACCACAACGCATCCAGGTCTGGGTCAAACTGTCTGGCGATTGGAAGAGAGGGAAATGTGAGGGGAGAACAGGTGTTAGTGAGAGTCTAAAATGAAATAAATAAAAAAAGAGCTATCTGTCGAATTTGTGAAGCGTTTATGCCGCCCTAATAGTTTGGATACGATAATGTGGAAGACTGCTGCATGGCAGAAAGAGGAGAGGAAGCTGTTGTTAGAGCAGTGACAGTCTGAAGGACTAATGATTACATCTCCTCATCAGTAAAATGAGTTTGCTGAGGAATGTCAGATTTTTTGGGGTAACGTGTTCTTCATCTTAAGAATCAGTACAACAACTAATTAGCACTACTGATTCACAAAAGAGGCGACCAATAATCAACTCTGATTTGCTTTATTTACAAAAATTACAGCAAGGTTTTTTGCATTAAAGGCTCAATCAGTAACCATGAATTTACCTGTAAGACTGACTGTTGTACCTTTTACACATGTTCACTGAAAAACACCTCAATTAAATAAAAAGGAGTAGATTTCATCTGAAATAAAGCGTAGGAACCGGGGATCAGGGCTCGAGACTAACGGCGCCTCGGCATCCTGGGGACGATAGAAAATGTTCCTGATAACATTGTGAACAACAAATCTGTGTTGAAATCAGCAGGAGGAGTGCTAGTTAATGCTAGCTTTTAGCAGCTGGTGGGCGGCACAGTCCTGCCTGGCTCAGTCCTGCCTGGAGCTAACTGCTAAAGTTATAGGTTGCATTACGATGCATTCAAGTTCTAGTCAGAAAAAAATGAGAAATGGGTGATGCTGAAAATGCGTTACTCAAAGTAATAACAACATTAAATGGCTGCATGTTTGCACTGAGCCTTTGTATCTGGCACTGACTTATTGAAGTCGTAACTATCCGTCAGGTAACATTTTGAAAACGTGAGGCTTTGGCCAAGTTGCCATCATCGTCCAAACAATCCAGCAACGAGGCTCAATCTTGTCTGCCTTTGTTTGCTTGTGATTAATTCACGTTGGATTTGTTTTGGTCCGCCCAGCTGTCCGTCCATCTGTCGGGGCCGTGACATAATACGCAAGCCTGTGGAGTAGCTCCAACTGCCCCCCCCTAATTTCCACCGTCATCATCATCCTGCCTTACGGTTTCTTCTCAGTCCCGTATGTGTGAAACCCTTGTGTTTCAACATCATTCAACATGTCAGATCTTTGGTTTATGTCGTTTGTAGAAAGGTTTTGTAGAAAAACATGTTCATATTTCTCAATATTGGAAGCTATCTGAAAAAGTATTGTTTTAGTATACGACCAAAACTGAGGTACTGTATCAGCTCGAGCATTAAAATGCACCAAAATACTGTGGATAGATGATAATGATGAACTTTTGGTTTACCCAGATCATCAAGTGAGAACAATGTTGATTAACATAAAATAAAATGGTTGCCAAAACTATGAAGAAAAGACACATTTTAAACCAGCATTATGCTGCATTGCATTACATTATATTATTATTTGATTACCAGGAGATGCATGTTTTGTAAAACAGTGTTGTCTAAACTAAACTACAGTGGACTGTTGAAGGTTATAATTAATCTTTTCTGCAGATCATCGACCCCACATATCTAAATATTGCTCAATATTTCTCATTACGCTGTTTTATCCATTTCAAATTTGAGCCTCGATTAAACTGGTATTTCAACACAACACAAACAACGTATTGGATCTAATAATTCGTGATTTCCCCTTCAATTGATAATGTAAAATGAGACTTTAATAGCATCATTTATAACAATGAGAACCGAGCAGTCCAGATGAACAGAAACCAATAATGTAACCTGAAAACCTTGAAGAATAAGTTTCACCCAAAGAGTTTGTTTGAACCATCACCATCTCCTTTTCTGTCTCTCTTTTGCCCCTTAGCATTGTGGGTCACACCGAGCCGTACACTAAGCTGTGCTGTAAAGGCTTCTGCATAGACATCCTGAAGAAGTTGTCCCGCACCATAAAGTTCTCCTACGACCTCTACCTGGTCACCAACGGCAAGCACGGCAAGCTGGTCCGGAGCATTTGGAACGGGATGATCGGAGAGGTAAGGAGCAACGTTACCGGCAGCTAGTCTTAAAGGGCCAGCGTCACTACGCGGGGACGTCGCAAAGACGACGAGTGAGGTTTAATTTCTCTGTTAGCTGCTTTTCGTTATCGCAGGAGTGAAATATCCACTACAAACGATGCAAAACATACATCTGCAATTTCATGGAAAGAACATTGTTTGATGACTTAATTCCAACAAACCTTTATTTTATTTTTTTGTCTACTGTTGTACGCAATTTGTCTAGTTATGTAGCTATAAAACGCAGCTTTCTAATAATAATTATTTTGCAAAATTAAACACCATTCTTGTGTGAGGGAGCTCCGTAATCTCCAGAACGCAAAAAGTTAAATATTTAAACTTTGGACGTTAATGCCGTATACCGTTAGCGGTATATATATATATATATATAATATATATATATATATATCTGGTTCGCCGTTTATCTTCTGTCTGATTACATGTGAATGCAGCATTAATGTCGTTTTAATTTGTTAGATTTAAGTCGTTTACAGCTACCGTGGGGCCCAGTGTGCACAGAAACCTTCATGATTAACAAACCAACGACAATACGCCTTTAAATGTACTAGTACCAGTTAAAGACTTGTATATTATTTTTAATAATAATTCCTGAATTCCTTTTTCTGACATCGATATCAAGACAATTGTAACTAACTTACAATCTGAAAGATGCTATAAAATTGATCTATAGAATCTGCCTTCTGCTAAACATTGAAAGATGTTTCTGGAACAGCAAATTCATTTCAAATCCTTGATCACAAACCAGTTTGTCTGTGGTGTAACTCGCCCCTGGATGTCCGATCTCGAGTAACCAAGATTGAACAAAATAGAAACCTCAAAACTAACGAGGTACGTTTTAAAGAAAAATGAGGACTTTTTATCTTTAAAACGGGCCAAAACTCCAAATAAGCTCGATCCTACGTTTCCTATAATGTATCTTTGATAGCATCGTTCCTGAGACCCTTCCTGCCGAGTGAACCTTTCAAGCTCCTTATAGAGTGTAACCTGCTTATTAGGATGTTATTGATGTAAAAGAATTTAGATTTGACATTCATGTTAATCGTTTGTTGTTGTAGATATGTTCTCCCAGCCTACACTATAGACTGTAAACCCTCCGTCAAGGAAAAACTGTCACAAAAAATTTGACTTGAATTAGGAGCAGGGAGGAAATATTTCTCCGTAACGGACATCATCATTGAGACATAGAACCAGTTTAAAGTAGCAACATATTAATCCAGAAACACAAACTAACACATTCAGACCACGATACCTTCTGAAGAAGATGAAAGTCATTTTGATGCTGCCGTTTACAACTCTAATGATTTGGATCTTTCATCGTGTCTAAATTAGCTTCATTATCAATGCAATCAAGAACCTTCAAATTTAAAAAAAGCAAATCTTTATTTTAACTTCACTTGATTTTTTGTGTTTATTACTTTTTGATGTTATCCGAGTAAAACCCAACGATCGACCAATTGTGGTATTAAGCTTAAAAAGCAATCATGAATGTAAAAGCCGTATCATTTTCTTTGATAATGAGCAAAACATTGTGTGTTACAACACACAATCACTGAGTGAGATCACAGTGAAAGCCTCAGACAAGGCTGCTTCGGCCACACACACACACACACACACACACACACACACACACACACACAAAGAAAATCCATTATCAAGTCAAGAGTGAATTGGTATCAAGGTCATTGTGGTGGGTGAGGAAAGAGAGAGGAGGAGTCGGTGTCCTTGTGAATAATCTCGGTAGCCGGACTCCTCTTCAGGAATCGGAGGATACAACATTAGCTGGCCTGTATTTTTACAAAAAAACAAAACAAAGGCTATTGTGGTCAATGAGGCATCTCCCTCCATAGCAGCGCTAATGGCTTGAATGAGGCGGAGTGTCTGGACTGTAAATCTACCGGCTCTCCATCAGTGTAACAAACAGTGCTGCGTGTGTGTTATACAGTCACGGGGGCTTTGAACTGCAGAGGTTTGTCCAGAGCCCTGCTGTGAATAAACCCACTTCCTGCTTGTAATATTTGTCATTAGACGCCTTATTTATCAATTTAATTATTTTGTCAATTTATTTATTTATAATTGTATATGTATGTCTTTATTTTATATATATTTATTTGTTTCATATATAATTATTTATTTATGTATTTTCTTTAATTATTTTTTAATATTGGCACAACGAGGCGTTTCCCTCCGTAGGAGAGCTAATAGGCAGAACAGGTCGGGCTGCAGAGGTTCGACCGGAGCCCCAGTGACCTTAGCCTGCTGTAATAATTCCACTTCCTGTTTGTCATACTTGTCATTAGAGGCCTTATGTAATAGGCACTATACTATATGCAGCGACACAATGCATTAAGAGATGGATTAGATTACACAATGCATTGGTGGAAAAAAAAGGCTGGAAAACATTAGACAAAGGCTTTTGAGTCATGTCCAGCTGGCTGCCGGGTGGTCGCCTGAAGAACCAGACAGTACATCATCCTCAGGGACGGAGGCCCAGCGTGTTGCTTCACTGATGGATGATATTTATCTCAAAGGTCAGCAGTGGACGTCCAGCATTATGTTGCATGCTGTAAGACGGGGTTTAGATTTATGATAATGCCGGACAAACTCTGCATTCACGTATTCATGACACCTAAAACTATAAACATATAAATATATATATATATATATATATATATATATCTTTATTGACTTCCCTCAGGTGTTCTACAAGCGGGCGGACATGGCCATCGGCTCGCTGACCATAAACGAAGAGCGCTCCGAGATCATCGACTTCTCGGTGCCGTTTGTGGAGACGGGGATCAGCGTGATGGTGGCCAGGAGTAACGGGACCGTCTCACCCTCTGCCTTCTTAGGTGAGACACTCGTCTGTGCTCCCCCGAAGTAATGAAGACGTACGGATGTGGACGTGTGACACATACTGGGATTGAAACAGCACCAGTTCCTGTCACCTCTGGTTACTCTTTAAACTTGTACCGTTTATGTTTTATGCTTATTTTTATTTAAAATATTTATTTTATTTACTTATTTTATCAATTTATATATTTATTTACTTATCTATTTATTTATTTTATTTCCGTTTATTTTAGTTGTATTTTTTGTATTCTATATATTTGACAAACTGTATTTTCCTAGATTTATTAGGTTATGCATATGTTTATTTATGTCCAGGTCAAAAGATGATAACTGGCTCTCTTTGCCTTCTGGCTGGTTTATTTAATCAACAGGCATTGAACATGACTTCTAAAATATTAAAAGTCAAAGTAAATAAAAACCCTAAAGGGAGAAATGTGAATATTGTACCTTCAGGACGGTGACAATAAATACAATATGTGCTATAAATACAAATCAGTGATTCTGCTTCCTTTAATGCTAGTAGTAGAATCATTAGTCTTTGTTTTAGTTTGCCCAGTTTTCTTCAGATGATGTTTGAATGATGAGCTCTTCCTTTTGCTTGACTCTGTCCTGTCTCCTGTCTCCTGTCTCCTGTCTCCTGTGTCCTCTGTCCTCTGTAGAACCATACAGTCCGGCGGTCTGGGTGATGATGTTCGTCATGTGTCTGACCGTCGTGGCCATCACGGTCTTCGTCTTTGAATACTGCAGTCCGGTCGGGTACAACCGCAGCCTGGTCAGTGCCAAAGGTGAGTCTGGCCTCCCTCCGTCGTCCATCTGCTGATCCTCTCTTCACAGCCGTGACAGCGGGGTGGAAGAGGATTGTTGTTTGGTTCGGAGTCTTATGTGGAAATACAGTGAGCTCTAAATTTAGGTCTACCCTCTTTAAAAAAAACCTTAAGCTTTAGAGTGACGCACTGGAAAAGATGTAAGATAACATACTGTATTTTATACGAATTATACTTCAGCTTTAGTTTCCACTTAAACTGCTTCAATAAACAAATTCAATGTCTTTTTAACATTAAACTAAATTGTCATAATGGCAGGGTAGTGTTAAAACAGCAGATAAGATGCATTTTTAAACATTATAATGGAAGGAATATCTTACTTTTATCATGATGCAGAAAAAAAACCTGCATATTTATATTTATTTAAATTGATTGTAAGTGATTAAATTAATTAATTAAGTTCAATATTGGCCTCCCTGAACTTCCACACACAGAGATGACAAACACTGAAGTGGTATCGAGAGGGTTTAGACAACATGTGAAATCAAAGTCTATTGACCGCGGCCACGTGTTGGATCGATGCCCGGAACACTGAGATGCTGCCGTTTCATTTGGGAGCCGTGTGGTTCTATTAAACATCTTACAATGGATGAAGGTCAGAGGCGCTTCGCTCATGCCGCCGCCGCTCGTCTTTGTTTTTTTAATGTATTTTAGGGTGTTTTGCATTTAAGATGCCAAAATTTATAGCAACGTGAAAAAGCGTCATGTTCTCATTGCAGGAACAAGATCAAATCGGTTGTTTACGTTTTAGTTCAGACATGTAACAGGACAGCTGCTTCATCGTAACGACAGCACTGACAGATTCCCATTTGCATTGAAATACTACACCAATAACACCTGCATACCCAACGGGGGCCGACTGGCACTGGAACGAAAATCCAATCAATCCAGCTTTTGTCAAAATTCCAACAGCTTGATTTGTGTGCCGACTGACGCCGAGTCCTGTTTCTAGAGCCCGGAGGTCCCACCTTCACTATTGGGAAGTCCGTGTGGCTGCTGTGGGGGATCGTCTTCAACAACTCGGTCCCCATCGAGAACCCAAAGGGCACCACCAGTAAGATCATGGTCCTGGTCTGGGCCTTCTTCGCCGTCATCTTCCTGGCCTCCTACACAGCCAACCTGGCAGCCTTCATGATCCAGGAGCAATACATCGACACCGTCTCCGGACTCAGCGACAAAAAGGTGCGGAGCTCCGTCATCGTCATTGACAGACCTGTCTGTGTGTGTGTTGTTGTGTTTGATGTGCAGCTTAGGAACAAAGTGCTCTATTTCTGGGTGTGTAAACAGCGTGAGCTAGCGCTACGAAATGCAAATGTCCAGAAGTGTCAATGTCATGGCTGTGACTTTCCCCTGCTAAAAACATAAAAAGAGTTCATGGAGAGTAAGTGGTGAAAATTGAATTACATCTCCGGATTCTTTAGATAGAGTTGTCCGTGAAAAGCCGATGAAATGTAATACGCAAGTGGATTTTCTGGCGGGGACGCAGATTATACATTTTTTGGGTATTATCTTGTGCATGTGTGTCTGGCCTGAGGATGTGTTTTATAGGAGTATTGACAAGGAGATCCGTGTCAAACCGCCAGCACAAGAAATGCTTTTCTAGAATCTTTGCTCGCAGGCAACTGAAGGGATTAAAGAGGCATTTGAGGAAAAGACCAAGCTGTCCACTGCTCATTAGGATTCTGGCAAAGTCATTTGCAATTCCCATCTCATTATACATTAACTCATTCATTCTATGCAGAGAAAGAAGCAAAGAGTCGTGTTGACAGCGAGCCCATCGATTATTGAACAGCTTTCTGCACGGCGGCATGGTGGGAATGCAGGGGTTTGCACTGCTGTTTGTCCAGCTGTGCAGAACCCCCCCCCCTTCAGGTTAAGTAAATGTAAATGAGGTACAAGATGAAGCCACATAAGAGTGACCTTGCATCAGAGGAGAGGAGTGATGGAGACGAGCAGAGCGGCTCTAAAGGACCCTGCGCCGTGTTGAGGAAGATGATTACCTCATCCCCACAGGATGGACACTTGACTTATAAGTCCTTGTGATGGGGCAACACATCATGTTGACTCTGACATCGACCAACCTCTGTCAATCCCACGTCACACGACATCTCTGTCCCGTGTAGTAACACAGCGAAAAACAAGCCGATGTTTTCCTTGTTTAAAACACGTCTTTTGGTCAGTGTTCCCTCTGAGACGTCAACGTGTTGTTGTAGCGCGTGTTTGGTGGTGGACGACGGTTTGCATCCTGTTTTCTAACCATCAAACAACAACAACGGTTCCTCTCATAATGTAGATATTTGTTTGTTTGGGAACGGAGCCGTGGCTGAGCTCAAAAGTGTGGCGCTAGTAAACCTGAGGGGAGAAACGCCAATGTGTCCCCTATAACGCCACAATGTGGTGAACAAATCTGTGTATGGAATGGAGAATCTGGAGAATGGAAGAAGGCGAGCTAGGTAACATTAGCTGTTAGCATCCGGTGGGGCAACAGAGTCCTGCTTGGCTAAATAACAGAGCTAACGGCTAAAAAGGAAAGTTAGCGAGAAACTTGAATGAATAGAGTTGTTTGAGGGAGATGTTTTCACAGCAACATAAAATGGATATTAAAGAGAGAATTATAACCCGACAAACACAGACCAATCTGTCATTTTGATTGTAAGATGTCTTTAGATTAAAGATTAAAAGTGGAGCTTTTGAGTGATTCTTTGTGTAGAAACTTAGTTTTACAGATGTGTTGATTAAATAAACAAATTGTTTAGTCGACAACATCGCGTGAGTGCTAGTCGACTAAGAAGAGGACGGCCTTTACTAACTAGTTTTAAGTAGCTTATAATACATAATTGAAGCTACTAATCCCAAGATTCTTTTTTAATCAAAGCAAATATTCAAATGAAGATTGAACTAATTGAATTGTGTGCATTTATGCAAATTCCCACTATAGATACAGAACATTTGATGTTTTACTCTTCAGGACAGTACACCTGGAGCCTCGCCTGCATGTAGTCTTTTTCAATCCAAAGGATAAAAAGAATGGCATCACGAAGACGATGATGGAATCAGTATCGATAAAATCTTATCAATTCAATCCATATCACACGTACAGACACTTGACCATGAGAGATTGCTCGAGGCTCGATACCAGAATGCTTCATGTTCAAGATGTCCAGATATGATTTTGTTCCTTTTCTCATGTGCAGTTTAAACTGTCCCTCTGCTAACGTACTGGGAACATATTTGCATAAGGTTAATTAAAAAGAGCAGTTTTGTCGATTGCCTTTTCCCCCCCGTCTCACTCTCTGTCCTCACAGCTCATTAAATGCATACGATACTCCCAACAGGAAAAAGATGAAATGTTCATTTTCTTACTGCAGACAAAGATATTTGGATTTCTGTTGGACACAGTGTCTGAGTGTTTGGTCTTTGAATTATAGAGTTAGATGTCTGAATTAATAGAGCAAGAGGACGGCAGGAACTAGCACAAAAGCACTCGGGAGTTGAGGCAGAAATGACAAAAATAGCAAAGTGGTGAATGTCATTGTATTAATATCTCAGAGCTTTTTTCATCGGGGCTTTAAAGTTTTTATGGAGCTTCTAAATAACAGAAAAGAGCAGCGTAATGAAGTCACGATTCAACCATCTGTGTGAAGGAAACAAACTGCGTATGATTATGTATTCAAGCACATGTGCAATCAATCAATATCACAGATCATCCCTGTCATTACCAATCCCTGCTCTGCCTCTCTCGACAGTTTCAAAAGCCACAGGAGCAGTACCCTCCGTTCCGCTTTGGTACGGTCCCAAATGGCAGCACAGAGCGCAACATAAGGAGTAACTACCCCGAGATGCACTCCCACATGGTCAAATACAACCAGAAGGGAGTGGAGGATGCCCTGAACAGCCTCAAAACAGGGTAGGTGTCAGCCAAGGCTCGTACAAAATATCTGTTGAGTGAGGAACTGAGAGCCTGAAGCAGAGCCAAACAGTGATATAATGGCCGTTTGAGTAAAAACTCATTCTCTTTATGCTGCTAGGAAACTGGATGCCTTTATCTACGATGCTGCCGTGCTGAATTACATGGCTGGCAAAGACGAGGGCTGCAAGCTGGTGACCATTGGCAGTGGGAAAGTGTTTGCCACCACTGGATATGGCATCGCCCTGCAGAAGGACTCACGCTGGAAGCGACTCATCGACCTGGCCCTGCTCCAGTTCCTGGCTGATGGTAAATTCTACATATTGCCAGTAATGCAAATTTAGAGTGTCGAGAGAGAGAGAGAGAGAGAGAGAGAGAGAGAGAGAGAGAGAGAGAGCGCGTGTGATGATCACAGTATATAAGAAGTGGACGTAGTCATCATGGCGTCATCCATTGGTTTGTGGACTGATGTTTTGAAGCCTCCTGTTTGGCGTTTTGGCCGCCGCCATCTTGGCTTTTTTGCAAACAGTGAACAGGAAGTGACCATATCTTTTACATCCCTAAATGCTATAATAACTGGATTTGCACTTTGTCCATGAACTTGAATAAACGGAGAAGAATGGATGAGAAGAGAGAAAGAAGAAACAACCCATAATGTACTCTAATGATACAATAAAGGCTTCCATTAAAAAGAACAAGAACGTAGCAAGGGGGAAATGGGAATGATTATAGGGTATAAAATACTATTATAGTAACGACTCATCCAAATGAGAGGCGCGTCATAAATGCATGTCATAAAGACCCAATACCAAGAGGTGATTTAAAACGTGACACTTATTCTGCCGACCTAAGCTCCTCGGGCAAGTTACTTCAAAGCCTCGAGCAAAAGCCTGGTCATCAATAGATGCTAAGAAGAACAATACAGCTCATTGCATAATATATCAAACTGAGAGGCCATACACAGAATGCTGCAATATTATTACTTCTCACAGAGACCATTAGCAGTAAAATCCTTTGATTTAGACTGAAGCCCATTTTACTTTTGGCAATAAAGAAAAGGAGACACCGGCTGGAATACACGCACAAAATATTTTAAAATTTGAATATTCCCATGGTCCTAATAATACCTGTGACAATAAAATTAAATAACAATTAAATAACTAAGCACATCAGCAGCAGCTTCATCCAGTGCAACACTCAAAAGTGAAGCCAATGCTGAAGTGCATTCTCTCTAATGTCCACCAGGGGGCGACTCCTCTGGTTGTATA